CTCTGTAGGTCTCAGCTATTCCGAGATGTGAGGTGAGAGGGATTCATCTGGAGCCCTGGGGTAGAGGTTGCGAGAGCCAAGATCACACACTGCACTCCAGGGCCCGGGGAGAAAGAGAGGCGGCAGGACTCTGTCTTAAGAAAAGTTAAGATAAACTAAATTATTTTTTTTTAAAAATTACATAAAAATGAATAGGTTCAACTCACTGTACCAGACTCTTGCCACTTTTGTCTCCTAATTCTGACTCAGGGATTGGGAAAACAGTTTGCTGCATCTCAGTTTAAATCTGAAGGGTGATGTAGTACTCATCTCGTTGTTTTGACAGGGAGATTTTGCTTTGTTGGGGCCAGGCTAGAGGTGCGGAATGCTGGGTGATCTCTACTCACACACTCCGGCCTTCCGGGGTTCAAGGCAATTCTCCTACCTCAGGCCCCTCCTCCGAGTAGCGTGTGGCGATTACAAGCAGGTGCCACCAGGGGGGGCAGTCTAATTTTGTATTTCGTTTAGTACGAGGACAGGGTTTTTCTTCGGCATGTGTGGGTCAGGGCTGCGTGAAACTGTCCAAACCTCAGGGTGACCTCGTCGCCCGCCTTCAGGCCTGTCCCAAAGTGCCTAGTTACAGGCGGGCTGGAGCCGCCCTATGTCCCAGTCGCATAAATTTCTTAGACTTCGTGTTGATTGTAAGTAACCCGGGTTCATTACATTTAGGAATCACAAGATAAGTGTATAAGGATGTTAAAAATATTCTTTGTAAGGCTAAAAAAAAAAGTAAAGAAGTTTTTATGTCCATTCACAAAAAATTTCAAGGAAGCAACTGCTGTTTTCCCAGTTGAGAGTCATAACATTCCCTATCTGCGGTCCTCACAGGCTGCAGGGAGAGGTCATCCAAGGCTGCCTCTGTAGCTAATAACCTATCAGAAGACCTTAGGTTATAAAACCATCCACTCAAGTGTTAGGAGGAGACAGTTTTTATCTATTCACTGAAAGTAAGTAAGAAATGTTAGATGAAAAAAAGCATTAAAGACACTGAAGGAATTACAGTCCAGCAATTTATTATTCTTATTTTTTGAGACAAAGTCTCACTCTGTCGCCCAGGCTGCAGTGCAGTGGCATGATCTCAGCTCACTGAAACCTCCTGGGTTCAAGTGATTCTCCTGCCTCAGGCTCTTGAGTAGCTGGGACTACAGGCGTGTGCCACCACATCTGGCTGATTTTTGTATTTTTAGTAGAGTCAGGGTTTCACTACTGGTCTCAAACTCCTGACCTCAGGGGATCCACTTGCCTCAGCCTCCCAAAGCGCTGGGATTACAGGCGTGAGCCACCGCACCCGGCCACAGCCCATTATTTTTAAAGTACCCATTACAACAATCCAAATTGTAGCTCTTACCCGAACACAGTGAGTAACAAAGGAGTCAATACAGTCCTTAGCCTGGTGATTATTATATAGGTAGCACCTGCAAGATAATAGTCACATCATTAAAATCTATTCGGCCCAAACGAAAGCAGCAGCAATTACTGCAGATGCTACAAATGACGGAGAAGGTGAATTAAAGAGAAAATGGAACCGATTCCTAAGTTAAAGAATGCTAGTATTAGATTATGAAACATTTTACAATTACTATGTAGTTCACACAATACATTTGTGATATTTCCAATTTCTATAGATCTATATTTGAACAATCAGAGTTGGATCCAGTAAGATCAAATTAGCAAGGAGAAAAGGAAAAGTCCAAAGCCCTACTTTTTCATGACCCCACTTCAGTGTCATATTTTCCTACAACTGATCTCCTCATGGACTGTGCTCATAATAGTCATTACAAAGAAAACACTATACAGGATCCTAATTTTTTCTGTATCCCCACTCTTCACCATTGGTTATAAATCACCTAAACATCTCTGGCACCTCATCTCTTCTCACAAAGTGGTTTCCTTTACGGTGTTCCTTATCTGATAAACAGAGCCAAGGTCACACAATGGAAAAGACAGTGCAACCAGCACCCAGGAGAAAAAAAAGGTGAACACCTGGAACAGGCATTTGGTGAAATGGGAAGTGCTGAAGGTTCACTACATCTGTAACCCTAAAGCAAGAAAATTACCTGAGATTAAAATAAAGCACTTTAAAAAGGCTCTCTCAATCTAAAGATGATGATTTTCAAATTTAAAAACTCAGTAGAAAAATATGTTCATTAGTAGCCTTGAAGATCAAGAGGAAGAACTTTCTCACAACACAGCAAAAATAACTAGGAGACGAATGTCATGAGGCATAGGTAAGGGAGCTCTAGAAGACTTAGTATGCTAGGAGCTCTAAAAAAGGAAAAAACAAAACAGATGAAAGTGAAGCAATAAATAAGCAATAACAGGGACAAATGATCTGAACTGAAAACTTGAGTCTTTAATGACTGAATTCCAGATACGACTAGCTGAAAATCACACATGAATATTCTGGTAAAACTTCTGAACTCCTAAAATAAAGAGAAACTCATCAACACTCCAGAAGAAGTTTCAAATCACTTACAAAGGAAAAGAGAATTCTCATCTACAATACTGAAATTTTTAAAACAGTGGAACAACTAGAACACCACACAATAAACTTTTCCACATATATAGTTACTTAGCATTATCTGTGGTAGTTACGTTCCATAAAGTTTCTGAAGATACTAAATTAGACTATTAAATCATCGCTAACAGGGGAAATAAAGGGTTAGATTCCTATGAGCCCGTGGTCACATTTCCATGCACTGATCAATGCATAACCTTGTTTTATGTGTATTTCTGTTTAAGACATCTTATTTAATGGATTAATATACTGTTGATTTATTAACATAAAACCAAGACCCAATAGCATATACCAAATGTGAATAGGCTGAATTCTGCTTTCAAAAGATTTGAGCTAACAAAAATTACACCACCATGTAAAAGAAACATATCAGGCCGGTGCAGTGGCTCAAGCCTATAACCCCAGCACTTTGGGAGGCCAAGGTGGGCAGATCACTTGAGGTCAGGAGTTTGAGACCAGCCTGGCCAACACAGTGAAAGCCCATCTCTACTAAAAATACAAAAATTAGCTGGGCATGGTGACATGTACCCGTGATCTCAGCTACTCAGGAGGCTGATGCGGGAGAATCGCTTGAACCTGGGAGGCGGAGGTTGTAGTAAGCTGAGATGATGCCACCGCACTCCAGCCTGAGCGATATTATGTACATGCAAATATTTCAAAATCCAAAAACATCAGAAATCTAAAATACTTCTGGTCCAAAGCATTTTGGATAAGAGATACTCAACATTTATTATGAAATATTTGGAGGTCATTACATAGAATTAGTTAGATCTACCATGAAGTAATTGGTGATAGAAAGCCATCGTGTATCTTTCAGTGGAAAAGATACACTTTGTTAAGCGTATATATTTTTTAACAAAGTGTGTAAGTGCTTTGTTAAGAAATAATGACTCCTTTCTTTCCTTCCCCACTGGAAAAGCCTGGTATTTCTCAGAATGCCAAATCAAATGATGATTCTTTCTGCATGCAATCCTTTTCAGCCTCTGATGGCAGCATGTTTTCGGGGCAGTCCCTCTACTGGAGCAAAGTTGAAGCACTTACACTGGAGACAAAAAACTTAGAGGAGTTATCAGAAATTTTGTCAACCTCATAAAAACCTTAGTTTTAATCTAAACAATGTGGCAGAGATCAGTTAATTTTAACACGATTAAGTTACTTTTACATGGAGATTTGATCCCAATTTTGATACTTTGGCTACAAAGGAGTACAGAGAAGTTGGCTTTTTAAAGGAGCACATACAACTCTAAAATGTCTTACAATACTTACTTGGGGGAAAGCACCGGAGGACTGACAAAAGACCGAAGTGCATCTTTCACCATGTCTTGCATGAGATGAGTTCCAAAGACCTTTTTGTTATCCACCAGGAAAGTGGTCTTAAAACAAATGTTACATATTAGTTATGGTGTCACGCACAGAGTTGTCATTACTATGAAATGAGTATACTGATAAATACCATAGACTACACAAGTGATTAAAATATAAAAAGTTCGTGAAAATTTTTTATAAATTGCTGTCTCCACAAAGAGTGTTACTTATTAATCCTTACTGAAGGTGAATTCTGATGTAGAATAAAAAATGTACAGAAATAAAAATCTCCCAAGAGTAGTAATATTAAAATAGTCAAAATAAACTGACTAATCAGATTATGTCAAATAGCTAATGTATTAAAAAATGCTTCATAAACTATGAAACAGTAAATGACTATAAATGTTATTTGATAATCCTATGTTTACCTCTAAGGAATGTTTTGTAACATATACAAATATTTAAATATTTAAATAATATATACAAATATTTGAACATGAAAAAATTTAAAACAATTTGCATTTAATAATGTTTTAATTTCCTTCCCTTAACAATCCACTGTAATTTAATATTTAATATACCATACCTTGATTTCCTAATACTGTTTTTAAATTTTATTTTAAATTCACATATAGTAAAACTTACATGTTTGTTGTACAGTTACAAGTCTAACAAAAGCATAGTTTTTCAAATCAGTCTCACAATCAAGATACAGAACAACCTGTATCACCCTAAAAACATTCCCTCATGGGATCCCTTTGTGGTCAAACGCTCCTACCGCCCTAAACCCCTGGCAACTACTAATCTGCTCTCCAACTCTATCGTTCTGCCATTTCCAGAATGTCATTAAAATCAAATCATATAGCCTTCTGAGTCCGGCTTCTTTCACCCAGTAGTTGAGATTCGTTGGCATTGGTAAGTGTATTATACTTCATTTTATTTCTGAGTAGTATTCCTCTGTGCAGGTACCACAGTATGTTTATCCACAGTATGTACCACACTGACCAGCTCAAGAACATGGGGTTGTCTGTTTTTGATGATCATGAACAAACAGCTCTGTACACTTGCAGAGGTTTCCAGAAGAGTATCAAATTTCACTTCTCTTAGGCAATCAACTAGGAGTGTGAGCTACATGTTTAATTTATAAGAATGTGCCAAGCTATTTTCCAAAGTAGCCAAACCACATTACATTCCTATCACCAAATATATCCTCGTCAGCACTTGGTATTATCACATTTTTTTTTTTTTGAGATGGGGTCTCACTCTGTTGCCCAGGCTGGAGTGCAGTGGTGTGATCTTGGCTCACTGCAACCTCTGCCTCCTAGGTTCAAGCAATTCTCTGCCTCAGCCTCCCAAGTAGCTGGGATTACAGGCACCTGACACCATGCTGGACTAATTTTTGCATTTTTAGTACAGATGGGGTTTCACTATCTTGGCCAGGCTGATGTTGAACTTCTGACCTTGTGATCCACCCACCTCCACCTTCCAAAGTGCTGGGATTACAGGCATGAGCCACTGCGCCTGGCCAGATTTTTTTTTTTTTTTAAGATATTCTAAAAGGTGGAGAGTATTTCTGTGGTTTAATTTGCATTTCCCTAATATTTTCCATGCTGGATTTGAATATTTAATATACTGAATACTGTTGAATATTAACCATATGAGATTTGCACCTAAGTATTTCATTTTTTTATGTCAGTGTAAATAGTTCGGTTTTTAAATTTTGATCTCCCATTGTTCATTTCAAGTATATAGAATTACAACTGCTTTTTGTATAATGACTTCATATCCTATCATCTCATTAAATTCACTAATCAGTTCTAGGAACTTCCTTGTAAATGCCATGGACATTCTACATGGAAAATCATGTCATCTCCAAGTGGACAGTATTTTTTCTTCCTTTCCAATCTGTATGTCATTTATTTCTTTTTCTTGCTTTATTGCACTGGCTAAGATTTCCAATGTTGAATAAGAGCGAAGTGGGCATCTTTATCTTCTTCCCATTCTTGGAGGAGAAGTCATTTAGTCTTTCATCATTAAGTATGATGTTAGCTGTAGGGTATTTCTGTGTATGTCCTTTATCAGGTTTAGGAAGTTCTCTTCTGTATCTAGCTTTGCTAAGAGTTTCAAATCACAAATGGATGTTGAATTTTGTCAAATGATTTCTGTGAATATACTAAGATTTTAGATAATACGGTGTATTATGCTGACCAATTTTCAAATGGTGAACCAGGCTTGATTCTTAGGATAAATCTCACTTGGTCATGGTGTACTACCTCTTTTTATATATTGTTCAATTTGATTCATTAATAATTTATTGAAGATTTTTACATCTGTGTTCGTGGAATAAGATTTTTACATCTGTGTTCATGACGAAACTATGGTCTATAGTTTTCCATGTTTGTAATTTTGGTTTGGTTTTGATAGAGTAAATTCTGGCTCATATGAGTGTTCTTGCCTCTTTTATTTTCTGGAAAACACTGCAAGGAGCTGGCCTGGAGTTTGCATTGTTAGGTTTTTAACTATAAGTTCAACTTATTTAACAGATAAGAAATTATTCAAATTATCTGTTTCTTCTTGAGTGAGTTTTGGTAGTTTGTATCTACATTTAAAGGAATAGGTCCATTTTATCTGCTTCTGCATTTATGGATAGAGTTGTATATCCCATTACTATCCTTTTAATGTTTACAGAGTCTGTAATGATACCCTTTCTTTCATTCTTGATATTAGTCATTTCTATTTTTCTCTTCTTATGTCTCATTAGAGATTCATTGACTTCATGAATATTTTCAAAGAATGAGCTTTGGGTTGCACTGATTTTCTCTACTGTTTTTCTGTTCCATATTTTACTAATTTCTGCTCTTCATTATTTCCTTCCTTCTGTTTACTTTAATTTGTTCTTCTTTTTCTGGTCTCATACAGTGGTAGCTTAAATTACTAACTGTAGACTTTTTTTTTTTTTTTTTTTTGAGATAGGGTCTGATTCTGTTGCCCAAGGTGGAACGCAGTGGTGGGATCACAGATCACTGCAGCCTGGACTTCCCAGTTCAAGCGATCCTCCAACCTCAGACTCTGTCGCCCAGGGTGAGACTTTGTCTCAAAAAATAAGAATAAAAAATTGCTGGACTGTAATTCCTTCAGTGTCTTTAATTAATGCTTTTTTTCATCTAACATTTCTTATTTACTTTCAGTGAATAGATAAAAACTGTCTCCTCCTAACACTTGAGTGGATGGTTTTATAACCTAAGGTCTTCTGATAGGTTATTAGCTACAGAGGCAGCCTTGGATGACCTCTCCCTGCAGCCTGTGAGGACCGCAGATAGGGAATGTTATGACTCTCAACTGGGAAAACAGCAGTTGCTTCCTTGAAATTTTTTGTGAATGGACATAAAAACTTCTTTACTTTTTTTTTTAGCCTTACAAAGAATATTTTTAACATCCTTATACACTTATCTTTGTATTCTATTAATGAACCGAGTTATAATAAAATTAAAATTATTGACTGGGCATAGTGGCTCACGCCTGTAATTCTAGCACTTTGGGAGGCTGAGGCGGGCAGATCACCTGAGGTTGGGAGTTCGAGCAGCCTGACCAACATGGAAAAACCCTGTCTCTACTAAAAATACAAAATTAGCTGGGCATGGTGGCACATGCTTGTAATCCCAGCTACTCAGGAGGCTGAGGTAGGAGACTCCTGAGTAGCTGGGACCACAGGCATGCACCACCACACCCAGCTCATTTCTTGTAGACTGGGTTTTGCCATGTTGCCTAGGCTGGTCTTGATCTCCTGGACTCAAGTCATCCACCCACCTCAGCCTCCCAAAGTGCTGGGATTACAGGTGTGAGCCACCATGCCAGGCATACTTTCCTTTCATATAAACATTTAACGTGGCCAGGCACGGTGGCTCACACCTGTAATCCCAGCACTTTGGGAGGCCGAGACGGGTGGATCACCTGAGGTCGGGCATTTGAGACCAGCCTGGCCAATGTGGTGAAACCCCATCTCTACTAAAAATAAAAAAATTAGCTAGGCATGGTGTGTGCGCCTGTAATCCCAGCTACTCGGGAGGCTGAGGCACAATCTAGCACCTGAACCCGGTTCAATCACTTGAACCCGGAGGTGGAGATTGCAGTGAGACAAGAGCATGCCACTGCACTCCAGCCTGGGCAACAGAATGAGACTATCTCAAAACAAAAACAAAACAAAAAAATTCAATGCTACAAATTTCCCTCTAAGTACTGCTTTAGTTGTAGCTCACAGATTTTGGTATGTTATATTTTGATTTTCCTTCAGTTCAAAATATTTTTGAACTCCCCTCAAGACTTCTGTCTTTGACCCATGTGTTACTTACAAGTTGTTTAATTTCAAAATATTTGGAGATTTTCCTGGATACCTTTCTCTTGTTGGTTACTAGTTTAATTCTAAAATAAGAAAGATACTTTGTGTGATTTTGATTGTTTTTGAATTACTGAGGTTTGTTTTATGACCTAGGATATGACCTTGATGAATGTCTAATGCTTAAAGTTAATACTTCAATTAAAAAATACACAACACTAACTGGAAAATTCTTTAAAAGCATCTACTTTTTGTTCAATCAACCAATAAAACAATGTCAATACACATATAATGTTTAAAGAAGTATTTTGAGACTAAGTGGAACTTACTTGTAACAGAGATCTTGAAAGAACACATGGTGACTGTTCACTAAATTCACAGAAAAAATCCTAATAGATACATAAAGAAAAAGCAGTGTCATTAATAGATTAAATAAAAGCTAAAAATACTTCATCATATAGAGTATAACTTTTACTAGACCTTCTGGAAATGACATAGTACCAGAGTTAAAATATGACAAATAAAGGTTATTTCTATAGAAATTGTTTAATTGTATAAAAGGGACAATGGATAATTCTAGACTCTAAAAACTTTTCTTAAAAAAACTGACCAATCATGGAATTATGTGGATACCACTATTAAATTTGTATACCATAAAAATAATACCAACAATAATTTACTAAGTCATGGCAGAACTTTAGATCCTATTTCACAGAAATAAATTCCAAGTAACCAAGTCAACTGGATGCACATTACTGACTGTTGCTGACTACAGGGAAAGACCAAAAGATACAGGTTTCTGAGCCAAGAGTCTACCAAGTGATCAAATAAGCCTAAGTGTCACCTGCTGGATCACATGCCAAAGCTTCAACACCAAAAGTACCTCACTAACATCCCCCACTCTGAAACCGGAGACAAGAAGTCAGCTTCAAATAAAGACCCTACAGAAAGCCTCGGCCCAGTGAAAACATCCAGAAAAGAAGACTATTGACTATACTCAATCTACAATGCAGTTACAGGAACATCCACACACACAGATGAGAAAGAACCAATGCAAGAACTATGGTAACTCAAATGGCCAGAGTGTCATATGTCCTCCAAATGACTGCACCAGTTCTCCAACATGAGTTCTTAACCAGGCTGAAATGGCTGGAATGACAGAAATAGAATTCAGAATACGGACAGGACCAAAGATCATAGAGATTCAGGAGGATGGCAAAACCCAATCCAAGAAAAATAAGAATCATAATGAAGTGACACAGGAGCGGAAGGATAAAATAGCTGGCATAAAAAAGAAACTAAAAGGTCTGACAGAGCTGAAAAATACAAGAATTTCACTATGCAATCACAAGTATTAACAGCAAAATAAACCGAGGTGAGGAAAGAATCTCAGAACTTGAAGACTGGTTCTCTGAAATAAGACAGTCAGACAAAAATAAAGAAAAAAGAATAAAAAGGAATGAAAAAAACCTCTGAGAAGTATGGGATTACGGAAAGAGGCCAACTCTGAATCACTGGCATCCCTGAAAGCGAGGGGGAGAAAGCGAACATCTTGGAAAATATATTTCTGAGTATTGTCCGTGAAAACTTCCCCAACCTTGCTAGAGAAGCCAACATTCAAATTCAGGAAATACAGAAAAGTCCTGCAAGATTCTACACAAGCAGATCATCCCCAAAGCATACAATCCTCAGGTTTTCCAAAGTCGAAATGAAACAAATGTTAAAGGCAGCTACAAAGAAAGGGCAGGTAACCTAAAAAGGGATCCCCATCAGGCTAAAAGGAGACCTCTCAGATGAAACCCTACAAGAAGAGAGTGGGGGCCTATATTCAACATTCTTTTAAAAATCTTCAACCAAGAATTTCATATTCCACCAAACTAACCTTCCTAAGTGAAGGAGAAATAAGATCCTTTTCAGATGAGCAAAGGTTGAGGGACTTCATTACCACCAGTCCTATACCTCACAAGAGGATCTTGAAAGGAGCACTAAATATAGAAATGCAAGACTACTACCAGCTAATACAAAAACACACTTAAACACACAGACTAGAGTCACTATAATGCAAACACAAAAACAAGCCAACACAATAACCAGCTAACACCATAATGACAGGATCAAATCCACACATATCATACTAACCCGAATGTAAATGGGCTAAATGGCCTACTTGAAAAACAGAGTGACAGCTGGATAAAAAAGCAAGATCTACTGATGTGCTGTCTTCAAGAGACTCATCTCACACATAATGACACTCATAGGCTCAAAATAAAGGGATGGAGGAAAATCTTCCAAGCAAATGGAAAACAGAAAAAAGCAGGGGTTGCGATCCTAATTTCAGACAAAACAGATTTCACACCAACAAAGATCAAAAAAGACAAGGAAGGGTATTACATAAGGGTAAAGGGTTCAATTCAACAAGAAAACCTAACTATCCTAAATATATATGCACTCAGATTCCTAAAGCAAGTTCTTAAAGACCTACAAAGAGACACAACTCCCACACAATAACAGTGGGAGACTTCAACACTCCAATGACAGTATTAGATGGATCATCTAGACAAAAAATTAACAAAGATATTCAGGACCTAAACTCAGCACTGGAGCAAATGGATTTGATAGACCTTTACAGAAGTCGCCACTCAAAACAACAGAATATACATCCTTCACATCACCACATGGCACATACTCTAAAATTGACCACATAATTGGACATAAAACAATACTCAACAAATATAAAAGAACTGAAGTCATACCAAACATACTCTTGGACCACAGCGTAATAAAAATAGAAGTCAACACAATGAAAATCACTCAAAACCATGCAATTACATGTCAATTAAACAACACGCTCCTGAATGCCTTTTGGGTAAATAATGAAATCAAGGCAGAAATCAAGAAGTTCTTTGAAAACAATGAGAACAAAGATACAACATACCAGAATCTCTAGGACACAGCTAAGGCAGTGTTAAGAAGGAAATTCATAGCATGTATTGTCCACATCAATAAGTTAGAAAGATCTCAAACAACCTAACTTCACAACTCAAAGAATCAGAGAAACCAAGAACAAAAAATCCCCAAGCTAGTAGAAGACAAGGACTAACAAAAATCAGAGCTGAAATGAGGGAAATCAAGACATGAAAACCCATTCAAAAGATCAACAAATCCTGCAATTAGTTTTTTGAAAAAAATTAATAAAATAGGCTACTAGCTAGACTAATTAAGAAGAAATGGGAGAAGATCCAAATAAACATAATTAGAAATGATGAAGGGAATACTACCACTGACCCTAAAGAAATAAAAACAACCATCAGAAACTACTATGAACATCTCCACACACACAAACTAGAAAACCTAGAAGAGATGGATAAATTCCTGGATATAAACACCCTCCCAAGACTGAGCCAGGAAGAAATTGATTCCCTGAACAGACCAGTAATAAGCTTCAAAATGGAATGAGTAATAAATAACCTACCAACCAACCAAAAAAAAAAAGGCCAGGACCTGACGGATTCACAGGTGATTTCTACCAGATGTACAAAGAAGAGCTGGTACCGTTCCTACAGAAACTATTGCAAAAAACTGAGGAGGGACTTCTCCCCAACTCCTTCTATGAGGCTAGCATCATCTTGACACCAAAACCTGGCAGATACCCAACAAAAAAAGAAGACTTCAGGCCAGTATCTTTGATGAACATTGATGCAAAAATCCTCAACGAAGTACTTGCAAATTGAATCCAGCAGCACATCAAAAAACTAATTGACCACGATCAAGTAGGCTTCATCACTGGGAGGCAAGGATGGTTCAACATACAAAAAATCAATAAACGTGATTCATCACATAAACAGAACTAAAGACAAAAATCACATGATTATCTCAATAGATGCAGAAAAGCCTTTTGATAAAATTTAATACCCCTTCATGTTACACTCTCAATAAACTAGGTATTGAAGGACCACACCTCAAAACAATAAGAGCCATCTATGCCAAACCCACAACCAACATTATACAGAATGGGCAAAAGCTGGAAGCATTCTCCTTGAAAATCAGCACAAGACAAGAATGCCTTCTCTCACCACTTCTATTCAACATATTATTAGAAGTCCTAGCCAGAGCAATCAGGCAAGAGTAAGAAATAAAGGGCATCCAAATAGGAAGAGAGGAAGTAAAACTATCTCTATCTGCAGATAACATTATTCTTTATCTAAATACCCCAGTCTTGGCCTCAAAGCTCCTTCAGCTGATGAATAACCAGCAAAGTTGCAGGATATAAAATTAATGTACAAAATTCCCTAGCATTCTGATACACCACCACCAACAAAACTGAGAGCCAAATCAGAAAGACAATCCCATTCACAACTGCCACAAAAAAAAAAAAAAAAAAAACACCTAGGAATACAGCAAACCAGGGAGGTAAAAAAATCTCTACAATGAGAATTACAAAACACTGCTCAAAGAAATCAGAGGAGACACAAATAAATGGAAAATCATCCCACACTCATGGACAGGAAGAATCAATATAATTAAAATGGCTATACTGCCCAAAGCAATTTACAGATTCAATGTTATTCCTATCAAACTACCAATGACATTCTTCATAGAACTAGAAAAAATTATTTTAAAATTTATATGGAACCAAAAACGAGGCTGAATAGTCAAGGCATTCATAAGCAAAAGGAACAAAGCTGGAAGAATCACATTACCTGACTTCAAACTATGCTATAAGGTTACAATGACCAAAACAGCATGGTACTGGCTGGTACAAAAACAGACACATAGACCAATGGAACAGAATAGAGAGCCCAGAAATAAGGCCACTAATCTACAACCATCTGATCTTTGACAAAGTTGACAAAAACAAGCAATAGGGAAAAAACTCCCTACTCAATAAATGGTGCTAGAATAACTGAGCCATAACGCAGAAGACTGAAGCTGGACCCCTTACATCATATACAAAATCAACTCAAGTATTTTTTTTAATTATTACTTTTTACATTAAATACTTAAATGTAAAACCCAAAACTATAAAAATCCTGGAAGGAAACTTAGGCAATATCACCCTGGTCCGAGGAACAGGCAAAGATTTCATGAAAAAGACACCAAAAGCAATCACAACAAAAGCAAAAATTGACAAACGGGTTCCAATTAAACTTAAGAGCTTCTGCAGAGCAAACGAAACTGTAAACAGACAACCTACAGAATGGGAGAAAATATCTGCAAACTATGCATCTGACAAAGGTCTAATATCTATATGGAACTTAAATTTACAAGACAAAAACAACCCCATTAAAAAGTGGACAAAGGACATGAATAGATACTTCTCAAAAGAAGACATACGTGCAGCCAACATGCATATGAAAAAAAGTTCAATATCACTCATCATTAGAGAAACGCAAATCAAAACCACGAGATACCACCTCACAGCAGTCAGAATGGCAATTGAAAAGTCAAAAAGTAACAGATGCTGGTGAGGTTGGAAAGAAAAGGGAACTCTTATACACTGTTGGTAGGAGTATAAATTAGTCCAGCCATTGTGAAAAGCAGTATGGCAATTCCTCAAAGAGCTAAAAGCAGAACCGCCATTTGACCCAGCGGTCCCATTACTAGGTATGTACCCACAGGAATACAAAGCATTCTACCACAAAGACACATGCACACGAATGTTTACTGCAGCACTATTCACAATAGCAAAGACTTGGAACCAACCCAAATGTCCATCAATGACAGACTGGATAAAAAAATTGTGGTACGGCCAGGAGCAGTGGCTCTCACCTATAATTCCAGCACTTTGGGAGTCCGAAGCAGGCCAATCACCTGAGGTCAGGGGTTCGAGACCAACCTGGCCAACATGGTGAAACCGTGTCTCGACTAAAAACACAAAAATTAGCCAGGCATAGTGGGGCACACCTGTAATCCCAGCTAAATCCCAGCTACGTGGGAGGCTGAGGCAGGAGAATCGCTTGAACCCAGGAGGCAGAGGTTGCAGTGAGCCGAGATCATGCCATTGCACTCCAGCCTCAGCAACAAGAGCGAAACTCTGTCTCAAAAAAAAAAAAAAGAAAAGAAAAGAAAGAAAGAAATTGTGTTACATATACACCATGGAATATTATGCAGCCATAAAAAAGAACGAGATCGTGTCTTTTGTGGGAACATGGATACAGCTGAAGGCTATCATCCTTAGCAAACTAACGCAGGAAGAGAAAGCAAATCCTGCATGTTCTCACTTACAAGTGAGAGCTAAATGGTAAGAACTTATGAACACAAAGAAGGAAACAACAGACACTGGGATCTACTTGAGTGGGGAGGGTAGGAGGAGGGAGAAGAGCAGAAAAGATAAGTATTGGGTACTGAGCTTAAGACATGGGTGATGTAATAATATGTACAACAAACCCCTGAGATGCGTGTTTATTTATGCAACAAACCTTCATATGTACCCCCAAACATAAAATTGTTTTTAAATAAATTTATCTAAAAATGAAGAGATACAGGTTTATATGTAGATGTAAAACCAGATGACAAAATACACTGAAATGCTAACATCTATAAAGGGTGGAACAGCAGTTATTTATCATCTTCACAGTTCTCTGCATCTTCCAAATTTTATAGTTAAATAATAATGTATGTATTTTAATACTTGGATTTGTTAATGATAACTATTTGGGCTTGGGATAGCAGCTCTTCAGAAACTGAAACCAGAATAAATGCCTATTCAGGCATCTATGTGATCAAGCTCTTTATTAAGAAATCCTGCAGCTTGCTGAGAAAAGTCTAAAGGATCACTGACAATGCCTCAGCTACCCACCCTTGGTTAGAACCAATGTGGGTCCCCCTAAGGTACCTGCAATGGGCCATGGTTTCCTCAGAGGGCTCAGCGAAATTGACCAACAATAATGGCAGACAACTTAGCCTTCAATATCAGGAGCCTGTCACAACCCAAGTCAGCCCTGCTGCTTACTAAAAAAAATATTTTAAAGTCCGTTTGCCTACCGACACAACTGGTAAAACAACCATATACATTAAAAACATATTACCTTATGGTTGATATGGGTTTATAGGTTGATTTTACCTAAAGACCTTGCAATTAATCTAGTGAACACAAATGTATATCCATGTAACAATTATGATAAAAAAAGTCAATGTGGCAAAAAAGAGTAAGAAAATATATATTCTCATTCCAGATATGCTATTATAGTCATCTAATTTGGTTACTTTAGAACCTCTGAACCTTAGTTTGTTTAGATGTAAAACTGTCTGTGATCTTTTTCCTAGGAACTTTTAAAATTCTGATTCTTATAACACAGTATAAGAAAGCAAATGCAACGTAAGGTATTAAAGGCATAACGAGTGAAAGTTTATTAAAAGAATGAAGACTTAAGCTGGGTTTTAATGACAAAAAAATTAATAGAAGGAAAAATAAAGAACATAAACAAAAGCACAAATCTTTACTATCAACTATTTCCCAGAGACTGCTGCTAAATGCTGGGAGTATAAACTATATACTGTGTGATCTCAAGGAACACAGGTACAGTGGCAACCAGCAACCAAAGGGGAAGATTTCACAGAGGAAATGACATGGGGCTGGCAATTCCGTACCTCGGTGTGTAAGGTAACACTCAAATGCTTAGCTATGCCACAGACGTCAGTGTACTTACGTCCTCAGAACAACAGTACTGTCTTGCACATTTTCTACCTTTCCTACTAACCTTACATGTGCTACTATAACCGTACTAATTAAAAAGCTTTTCTGCTGTCAGCAGGTACAGGAGAAAAAAACAAAAAACAAAAAAAAAGCTCCATCTCTGAATGTTCTTAAAATGAGCCCTGTTTTTCTACATTTTAACCCATAAAAAATATTAATCCAAAATATGATAGTTAAAAATGTACCTAGCAGCTTCGTTTTTTAGGAATTTATCTTAAGGGGAAAGGAAGCATATAATAAAAAGATTTACCTATACATATGTTCATCTTAGTATTGTTTGTAACACTGAAAATTACCTAAATGTAATTTAAATGAATGAAATGAAAAAACCTGTAATATATGCTTAAAATGGAATACTACACAGCCATTAAAATAATGTAGAATTTGTCATGTATTTGTTGACATGGAAAGGAAGATGTCCATGATACAGAGACAAGCAATTTTAAAAAGCAGGTTACCAAACATCATGATCCTATTTTTATATGTAAAAGTATATATATACACACTTAAGACCCGGCACGGTGGCTCATGCCTGTAATCCCAGCACTCTGTGAGTCCGAGGCGGGCGGATCACGAGGTCAGCAGATCGAGACCATCCTGCCTAACACAAGGAAACCCCGTCTCTACTAAAAATACAAAAAATCAGCTGGGTGTGGTGGCGGGCGCCAGTAGTCCCAGCTACTCAGGATGCTGAGGCAGGAGTATGGCGTGAACCTGGGAGTTGGAGCTTCCAGTGAGCCGAGATCGTGCCACTGCACTCCACCCTGGGTAACAGAGCAAGACTCCATCTCAAAAAAAAAATTATATATATATAAAAATTATACACATATATATATTTATATATAAACACACACACTTAAATACATATGTTTATGTATACCAGCATACATATTACACATTCATATGTTTTGAAGACAGAATCCAGAGTTCAATCCCCACTCTTAAAACTAAGGTGAGGCCAAGTGCACTGGCCCATGCCTATAATCCTGGCACTTTGGGAGCCCAAGATGGAAGGACTGCTTGAGTCCAAGAGTTTGAGACCAGCCTGGGCAACACGGTGAGACCTTGTCTCCACAATAAATAAAAATTTAAAAGTTGACTGGGTGCAGTGACTCACACCTGTAATCCTAGCACTTTGGGAGGCTGAAGCAGGTGGATCACTTGAGCTCAGGAGTCAGAGACAAGCCTGGGCAAATGGTGAAACCCTATCTCTACCAAAAATACAAAAAATTAGCCATGCATGGTGGCACACGCTTGCAGCCCCAGCTACTTGGGAGGCTGATGTGGAATGACAGCTTGAGTCTGGGAGGCAGAGGTTGCAGGGAGCCGAGATCACACCACTGCACTCCAGCCTGGGCAACAGAGGGAAACCCCATCTCAAAAAAAAAAAAAAAAAAAAAAAAAAAATTTAGCCAGCTCTAGTGGTAGGTGTCTCTCCCAGCTACTTGGGAGGCTGAAGTGGGAGGATCACCTGACCTCAAGAGTTCAAGGTTGGCAGAGCACGGTAGCTCTCACCTGCATACCCAGCATTTGGGGAGGCAGAAGTGGGAGGACTGCTTGAACCCAGGAGTTCAAGACCAGCCTGGGTAACATAGTGAGACTCCATCTCTACAAAAATAATGATTAAACTAAAATATTGTTGGGCGTGGTGGCACACGCCTGTGGTCCCAGCTTCTTGGGAGGCTGAGAAGCAGAAGGATCGCTTGAGCCAAGAAGGTCAAGGCTGTAGTGAGCTGAGATCGTGCCACTGCACTGTCACCTAGGTGACAGATCAAGTCCTCCATCTCCACAAAAAAAAAAAAAAAAAAAAAAAAGAGTTCAAGATCGCTTTGAGCCAAGATTACACCACTGCGCTCCAGCCTAGACAACAGAGTGAGATCCTGTCTCAAAACAAATCTTGGATGAATTATCTAACGTTTCAATGTCAGCTTCTTAATCTCTAAAATAGTGTAAAACCTTTGAGGATTAAATAGAATGTATGTATGTATAATATTTATGAACCACTTAATCCTCTAGCTATCACAGAAAATAGACAAAGAGTAGTATTTACCCTTGGTCAGTGTCTATAAAGTGATCAACTATTCTGTTGTTAAACCAAAGCTACCCCATAAATATGTACAATTATTATGTATCCATTTTTTTAAATGGAAGTTATATTCAGGAACAGAGATTTGTACTTACCAGGATACAATGTAAATTTGTTAAATTCACAACCTCACAGACAGTTTTTATTCTATCTATTAATCTTGCAAAATAGCTGACCATTTCTTCTCTTTTAATTATTTTTGCATATCGAGGGAAAGTAGGTGGAAGTAGCCTCTGGTTCACAAGGGGTTCAAAACCCATCATAATTGGATGATCTAAAAAGAAAAAACGAAAGTAAAATTTTTCAATGTTTCTCTGAATTTAAAACTGCAAATGCTATTAAATATAAAAATGCCAGTTTAAAAAGTTTTTTCAAACAAATTTTAACCACAAAATCCTCTAAACAGATTTTATAGTTTAGAATACATCTATATATATACATTTTTAAAAAACTAAATAAGTAGATTTAATAACCTAAAACTGTACTTCCTTCCTACATGGTGGTGATAGCGGTGAGGGAGGTGTTTCTACGTCAAAATGAACTCGAAGAAAAAACTCCGAGGAAAAAATAGGGTCATTATATTCCTTCAACACAGAGGAAATGATACATTGACCATGAAATTGTGAAGAAAGGTAAAATGGGAACACAAATAATGTAGGCTTCTCTTCCCCTCAATTACTAAACAGTAGAATCCATTCAAACTTAGCTATACAATAATCCTAAATAGCAGAGCAAAGCAGCATAGCCCTCAGCCCTTAGCCCTCAATGAGTCCGAAATGCATTTGGTACGAGATGTAATTACAGAAATCCACAATGCTTTAAAGACAGTATTGTAAGACACCTAAGGGTGAGTTCCTCTTTCTTCTCTGTCCACTGGTGATCTCACTTTTCACACTAGTGCATAGCTCCAAACCAAGTCTTTCTCAACTTGAAATCTAAAATGAGGAAGTATATCGCTAAAATGACACATGAATAAGAATTTTTTATTCAAAGTTCTCCTGCTAGTCTACAAACAGACCACAACCTAAGAAAAAATATGGTTTCAGATGCCAATGAAAGATAAAATTAAAGCTGAAAAGCTGTTGTTATTAAGAATTAAAAGACTGACAACCATATTATAATGCCCCTGAGATATACACCATAATTGTTCTTTAGGACCATGCAAATAAAGATGTTCCCAGGGTTCTTGGTCTTTTTCCTCTTCTCTGTATTTTCTCCCTAGGCAACTGGTTGATGTTACTTATTCTAATATAAATTCCGATTTAAATGATGATTCCAGACTGAAATCTTTAGCCCACAATCCTTCTTAGTTCCAAACCTATGGCTTATAACTGCATAAGGAACATTTCCACCTTGGTATGCTGTATCATCTCAAAAGGCAAATGTCCAAACACTCTCTTTGTTTTTCCCCTAACACTGCTTCTCCTCTTACAGGCCCCCTTTCTCAGTAAAATGACCCACTATCCTTACAATTGCTTAAGCCAGAAGCCTTGTCTCTTCTCATTGCCTTGCCTATGCCTAATAAGTTTTAAAGATTCTAATTCCTAATGTACACTCGATCTGTCCCTCCTCTTCCCTCTTACTGCTACTGCAACAGCCTAACTGCACTGATTGCTCCCTCATTCAATTAATCCTATACACTGCCACCTCAACTGTTTCATCTAAAACACAGCCTGGTTTCATTCTCCAAATCCAAAAACTTTGTTGACTCCCTATTATATACAGTACAGATTCTTTGGTAGAACACTGGAAGGTGCTTTCCAATTTCCTGCTCTCCCTATAGAAAAAAAAACCAAAAAACTGCACTCCAATGGAAAACTACTCACTGTCAGACTGATTCCACGGGAGCTATTCCATAAATCTATAAATTGTAGGCAAGTGACAAACATGCAATTTCTATCCTACCTGGTAGAAATTCATTGACTTCTTTCCCCTTTTATGGAAAAAAAACAACTTTGCTACCATTTACAACTTATTTCAACATTCCATTACTTCATATAAATGTGTGCTGTTTAAAAGTTTACATTTGAACTGCTATAACATGTGTTTGAATGATTTTAGCATTCTTTTTTTGTTTTTCCCCCCTGAAATGGAGTTTCACTCTATTGCCCAAGCTGGAGTGTAGTGGCAAGACCAAGCAATTCTCCTGCCTCAGCCTCCCAAGTAGCTGGGATTACAGGTGTCCACCACCATGCCCAGCTAAATTTTGTATTTTTAGTAGAGATGGGGTTTCAACATATTGACCAGGTGGGTCTTGAACTCCTGACCTCAAGTAATCGGCCTGCCTCAGCCTCCCAAAGTGCTGGGATTACAGGCGTGAGCCACCGCACCCGGTCACATTCATTTTTGTTTTATATCTGTATGAGAGTCATGGTTTTAACCTTTTTCTGAAAATGATCTCTGAACACTCCCTTCTCCTTAAGCACTGTAAACTATAAGCATGCACAGTGACTCACAAATTTCATGCTCTTTTATGCCTCTTTACTTTTTACGCAAACTATTTCCTCTACCTGTAAAACCTATCCCCTATGATTAGGCTGGTAGTTTTGAAACAGCTTGAATGCCTTCTCCTCCTCAACTCTCCCCAGTACTTTCTATATATACTACCGCACTGTCTATATGGAGTTATGTCATTTTCCCCTCTCTCTGAGCTGTTCTGAAAGCAGGAACTGGCTTAATTTCTCAAACACCTAAATACCCAGCTCATATGTTTGCTCAGTAACAAGATATGCAGCACGCTCAAAATAAAATGAAAGGCTGTTTCTACTATAATGCAATAGTTTGAAAACTTCATATAGAACTAAAGTAGTAATACCAATGCTATAAAAAGCTTCTTCACCATACCAACACAAATATATTTTGAGTTTTAATAAATGCATGGAATTCAGATACTTCAATAGTGTATCACCCTTATTTTCCCTGAAAGCATTCTAACGTGCATCTAAAATTATTATTCAGGAATATTCTTTTATTCTTAATCCACACATCTTTAGAGGCCTATGTCACAAGTAGAAAATTAAGTGGATAATAGCCACTCATGAAAATCTGTATTACCATGGAAAGTAAACAATAATGGGAAATGGACAACCAATATTATATTCTGTACTACATTCACTTTCATACAAACTAAAAAGCAGCAGCACTTGATCTCTTCACACGAGATGCCAGTAGCACCCGCTTTACTGTGAAAACCAAATATGCATCCAGACATTGCCAAATGTCCCTGGGAGGCCCCAGTTGAGAAACACTGGTCTACACAAATACAACAAGCAATCATAATTCAGTGTGGATACACCCAGGATTTAATAATCCATTGAAAAATTACAGGAACGACTTCCTAGAAAAGTTTTGAGTTATTCAAAGGACAAAGTATTTGTCAAGACAAGGTCTTCCAAGCATGTAAAAGGTCTACAGCGGGGCTCCCCAGCCCAGGTCTAGTAGCGGTTTGTAGCCTATTGGGAACCAGGCTGCATAGCAGGAGGTGAGCAGTGGGCAAGCAAGCAAAGCTGCATCTGTACTTACAGCCGCTCCCCATCACTCCCATTACTGCCTGAGCTCCACTTCCTGTCAGATCAGCGGCGGCATTAGATTCTCATAGGAGCGCAAATCCTATTGTGAGGTGTGAAAATGAGGGATCTAGGTTGCACGATTCTTATGAGAACCCAATGCTTGATGATCTGTCACTGTCTCCCATCACCACCAAAGGGGACTGTCTACTTGCAGGAAAACAAGCTCAGGGCTCCCATTGTGTCTACATTATGGTAAGCTGTGTATTTCATTATATATTACAATGTAATAATAGAAATAAAGTGCACAATAAATGTAATGCACTTGAATCAACCAGAAACCATCCTCCTCCCACCCCTGTTGGTGGAAAAATTGTCTTCCACAAAACCAGTCCCTGGTGCCAAAAAGGTTGGGTGGGGACCACTGCCTACAGGACAGAGAATATGGCTTTTCTTTTTTCCTTAAGGAGTTGCAATTTTCCAACTCCTAACTTCTCTAAACTCAGGAAGTAAAAATAGAAGCCTATAAATAGACTGGAAACAAAGCTTCTATGATAAATTTAGAAGTTATCTATATACTCCTCTCCATTCTCCACATATATTTAAACTTTTTCTCCTCTACATTTTTGGTCCATGTTAATGATTAAAGGAGTTGCTAATGGCTATTTTTAAGTCTCAGCTGTTGTTGAATCTCCTGCATAAGAATTTAGTAACCATCCTATACCAGACATCATAAGTTGCTTGACTAGAAAAGAGGGTAAGAACCCAGTTACAATAAAAGATCAAACCAGTTATTCAGGATGTGGACTACGGCTGAGGGGCTAAAAGGTAGCCAGGAGACTGCATTTGGTTTCAAGGCAGTAGAAATTATAAAAAGTTAAAAGAAGCTTTATCAAACCCTATATCTTCCCAGAATAAACTGTTTTAACATTTTCCCACTGTACTTCATACCTCTACCACACTATTTCAGGTTGTCTTATATGGAAATAACCTGAACAGGCTCTAATGCCCCTTACTAAATGAGCTCAGAAAGAAACATAATTCATGGCACTTCCCACCTAGCATATGCCCACTGAAGTTTTCCTGAACTGAACTGGATACAAACTAAACAACATAATTTTCAGAGCTTCCTTCTTATTTCACAAGTCTATAGGTATATAAAAATTATCTTGGTTTTCCTGTTAAAACACTTCATAAATAAAATGCTAAGCCAGGCACAGTGGCTCGTGCCCGTAATCCTAGCCCACTAGGATGCTGAGACAGGAGGATTGCTTGAGGCCATGAGTTCAAGACTAACCTGGTCAGAACAGCCAGACCCCATCTCAAAAAATTAAAAATTAAAAATTAATAAAATGCTAAAGTCACTCAGTACAAGAGGGCCAAATAAGATTATCTTCCCTTCAACTAGCATTCTCTTAAAATAATAAAGTATAACTGATATTTTCAAAACATTATGATACACAGGTTTAAACTGTGAAAGTCCTAAAATTCCTGTTAGGTCACTGGTCCTCATTATTAACAACAGAAAAGTATTACCAACAGTACATGGTCATTACATAATAATTTTTTCTTTTTTAAAAACTGGTGTATAACAGTTGTATGTATTTTTGGGGTATATGTGATATTTTGATACATGTACACAATGTATAATAATCAAATCAGGGTAATTAGGGTATCTGTCACTTCAAACACTTCTCTCTTCTTTGTACTGGTAACATTCCAATTCTCTGCTAGCTGTTCTGAAATACACAACAAAATAATAACTACA